TAACTGAGTTAGATGGACTCATTATTGGGTCAGGATTTAAACCCGTAGCCTTCAGCTAGTGATTCGATGAATTTCTTCGGTATCGTTGTTCTATAGTTTGATTACCGGAACGTTTGTCGAACTGGTTTTGAAAGCTATTTTTATGACTCCCTCTCAAACGCCCTCAAAGAGAATGCGACGAGCCACTAGCCATTTAAACACTAAGTACCGAAACTTAAGCAACAGAAGAAAACGACCAGGATCGTGTACGGACATAGTTATATGAGTTCGAAATCGGCTCAACTTTCTTCGATAAGGAAAGCTTCTCGAGCCGTGCACTCTCGGCTTAGTGACTTCGCATTTCACGACTCTTCTCACTTACGAAGGGGACTTTGATCCTCTGCTTGGGAGCGGCGTCAAACCACTGATCGGTATGCGCTTCACATTCACCATTGCAGCGTTGCTGTACATGGAGGAAGTGGAGTTTGAGTTCTTAGACAACTTACTGGCATTCGCCGTGACGCTCGGTTTCGCGGCAAACAACTAGTCAATCGCTTGATGAACTCATCGACTCGTCGGAACGAGACGAGTGCTGGGAAGAGCGATAATGGCGCAACAGCGTAATGCATTCTGGGCTAATACGATCTGGAAGTGATGGAGAAACAAGGCCGGACCGATCGACTACATGGGCGGCCATCGCGCCAACAATCTTCCTCAGCACTCTACTGCCTAAGGAGAAAATTAAACGAAAAACATAGCAACAACTGGTGCCACACATCCCGATATCCGCCGCATCTGCGCCGGACGACTGGTTTTGCGTACTTGTTCGAGCGGCTTTCCCGCTTGAACCAAACAGCAGCTATCGAATCAAAAAAATACTTGGGCCGACGACTGCTGCACAGAGTCGTATCTTTCGGCATCTTACAGGAAACACCTTCCGCAGAGCAGAGCAAGCGCGGTCTGTAGTCGATGCAATCTCGCTCGTTCTCTTACTGCTCCTTTCACTCGTTCACTGTTTGGAGGAATAAGCACATCATAACAACTTGTCATATGGCTGCTCGTGAGACTACGCAAACTTGTTTGTCGTGGCCATCGGTTTCAGGCGTTTGCGTAAGCAGAACGTCTCTGGCGCATAGCCCTTATTACATTGTTAGCTTTTCGAGGTCTCCATCGCAAAACACCGATTATTGCCTTGTACAAGGAACAATTCCTCTGCAAAAATAGATCTCTGTACTTCGTTCAAGAAAGCTGAACGCCGGCCTCTGGCTGACGTCATCATTGTTTCGGTTTCCTCATGAGAAGTTCGCGGACTCGGATGAAGCGCCTGTATTCCCCATTTTGTCAAGCAGAGCCACCCACCGTTTCCTAATCTTTGCACCTACTGAGGAAGTTTCACCTCGAGAAAGAATGGAGTCGTTCCTAACGGTATCCTGCCCTTTAGCTCTCACTATGCATCGAAGCCAGCGCTGCCGTTCTTGCTGATGAGACTCCATCATCGTTGTTGGCCCTTCATTAGAACAACTGTCTTCAAGCTATAAAACAGCAATGACTTGACCGAGGTTAGGCTAAAGCAGATTTTCTTGCAGAAGGGTATTTATTTCAATGTACTGCACAGTTTAGCAGATGATAGGTACCGAGTGCAATTATAATATTTGACTTTAATTAGCTGGTGAGGTCGCTGGAGGTTATATGAAACCGAGGTACTTAAGGTGGTCAACCATCTGTTCTATTTCACCTCCACGATACATTTTTTGTTAAAGGAAAGTCCAGATTTCGCAGTAGCGCTTTGTATGGAAGCTGTTAAGTAGCTACGCCTGCATACTCGGCTTTTCAATAGGACAGTGTGCCAAACACGTACTTCAGGTCAGCGAGAGTATAGCCGGATATAATGAATTGTGCCTCCATTTAGAATCCGTCCTTAGTTTTTGCCCGGTCAGCACTGTTTTGGAGGAGGGAAAGGAGAACGGTGGTGAAATTCAGCAGCAAATGCGAAGCGACAGGTTCGTTTTGGACTCCATAATTAGAGGAAATAACTCAGATAGCTTTCCTTCGACTTCAGTTAAACACGTGGTTCCTTCATGGATTTTTTTAAAAATAGAGGCAATACATTGAAATATTTCTTAACATTTAAATTTTCTACATCATTTGGCGATGTACTAAATTAAATGTAGTTTCAATGCTGCAAAAAAGTGTCAGTTTGCCTTACTGCATTAAGCAATTGACTGCATATATAACATAATAGGCTATTTCATAGACGAGCATGATAAAAGGACATGTCAGTTAGTTATTGTCAGTTTTGTTATCG